CTTACTAGGGAAACGGTGGGATATTCTGTGGATAATTCGGGTTGAAACGAGGAATGGCTTTGAGGATGGGAAAGAGAGAGAAGAAGAGGAGGAGAGAGCACAGGATTTGGGAAACAGAGAAAGCTTGAGACTGGTTAGTCCCGCCATTGTTGTTGCTTTGTCTAGAGCTCAAGGGGACTGAAAATGGACTTATACCATTCGTGACTATAGATAAGGAAATTAAAGTAGTTGAAATGAAGCCGCTCGAATAGTAGCTTTGGTTCGTTTTATATTCGGGCTTGGACCGTCGTGTGTTTCCTAAAGCTAGTTTCACAATATTGGAAATTTTACATCGGCAAACCTTTACCCCTTATTTATTATAAATAAATATCCTTTTAAAAAATTATTTTCTATAGCTACCTTTTAGGTTTTATAGCAAATTATTTATTTATGGTCACTTACTATCGTTTAAGACTTTAAATACGAAATATTTTTCTCTCTCCTACTTTCTATTCTTTATCTCACACTAACATCGTATAGTATACAACTTTGCTAAACCCACGATCTCTCTCCACTATCTCTCTTCCAATATCTTCCCCACGAATACAACCACCATTATCAACTGATTCATCTCCATTTTCTCTCTCAAATTTGAGCACTTATGGATTGATTCCACAAACAACATTTGATGCCAATTAACTCCGTCAAAGATATGGTGCCCTCCTTTGGGACTATGCTATGCGGAAGATAGACGCCAATGCCATAAGCGATAATGAAGCACCTGCAAAGATTGTTAGACGAATGACAGATTCGGATACTTCTGTGAAGATTGTTTTAGAATAGTTATCGCTGAATATAGTTTTTGAAGATAGTTTTCTGTGAAGATAGTTTTTGAATATTGTTTTGGTAAAGATGGTTTTCTGTTAAAAACAACTCATGTATTCACTTTATGCACTGTATTCAAAGTGTTTATTCAACAGTTTATAATTTCAAAGCTTCACTTTGTTTCACTGTTTTATGCAACAGTATATATTCAGCAGCTTGTATTCATATGTATTCAGCAGATGTATATATGTATTCAAATGTATATGCGGTATGTATTCAATATATATTTGCAGTATGTGTTCAGCAGTTTACTAAAAATAATCCTTTAGTAAACTATGGAATGTATTCATCAGATGTATATATGTATTCGAATGTATGTTACAGTGTGTATTCATATGTATTCCACTATATATTAAGCATTATGTATTCATATATGTATTCGGCATATTGTAGTGTGTATATACTGAAGTTTCTATTCATATGTATTCAAATATATATTCATACTCATATTCATTCATATCTACAACAGATTGTATTCATATGTATTCATATTCATTCAGTAGATACAATAATGTCTCTTTGCCATATGTAAAATCGAATTATATCGATTGTTGTATATATTTGTATGAATTTCGAATTTTATTTAGTAAACAAAACCCCACGAACGATAGCAACAAAGAAAGGCAGGATTGAATCTCTAGAGATTGCTCTGTTTTGGGGTATTTTTCGGCTGAGAATATTCTATAACCGGAAATACAAATTATGCGTGTTATAATTAAGTTATATTAGGAGTCTATAGCATTAATTGATGCACTTACCGTTTTTAAACAGCTGAAAGGACCCTTTTTCCGCAGATTTACGTTACTGTATTCACGAATACAGCTCGCGAATACAGTCGAATACATTCTCTGCTTAGATGGACTCCCCTGTTTTTCACCGAGTTTTGCTACTGTATTCATGAATACAATAGCAAAAATACATCGAATACAGTCTATAACAACTGAAAACATAGCTATAGGAAGTAATTTAGTAAATGATAGCTATAGCAAGCTAATAACCACTAAACAATACTGGTTTGTGAAAAACTTTCTTTAATTTTTTATAGCTATTCATATCGAAATACATTGGATCGATTTTACTTGTCCATCAAATTTAAAGTCAAAGTGGAAAAGTTAATTAGAGTTAACTTTTTTAAACTAAACAAATCTTTGTCTATTTAATTTTAAGTATGAGATGTTTTAGACATTTAAGGGGTCCGGTTACCGGAATAAGATTATTAATTTTGGGATAAAGTTTGAAATTATATTTATCTCATAACCTATAGGTATTAGTTAACAATGATATAACCTTTATACCAAAATATTAGTTAATATCACGACCCGGAATTCCCACCATCGGGACCGAGACGACGCCTAACATCACACTTGCTAGGCAAGCCAATGTTAGAGATTTATTAGCCAATTCCTTTATGTTTCAGTGATTTACAATAAGCAAGCTAAAACAATTCGAAATGAACGCGAAAGTACATAAATAACAATTTTGATTATATACTATTACTACCCAGAATCCAGACTCTCAATTCACGAACATTCTAAGATTTTATTACAAGTATTTGTCCGAAAGAAAATACAACTGTTTGCGAAATAAGGAAAATAGTAAAGTATGAGATATAGAGGGGACGCCAGGGCCTGTGGACGCTGACAGGTCTACCTTGGGTCTCCTAGCTAATGAATCCTATAGCCAACCTCTCGATCAGCCCGAACCAGCTCCAAAATCTACACAGGAAGTGCAGAGTACAGTATCAGTACAACCGACCCCATGTACTGGTAAGTGCCGAGCCTAACCTCGACGAAGGAGTGACGAAGCTACGGCGGGGCAATCACAATATAACGTGCATACAGTGTATAATAAAAGCAGAAAGAAAGACAAGATAAAATAGCGTAGTAACTTGCAAGAAGTGAATACAGTTCTCGAAGCATATCATCAGTGTTCAGATATTACCAATCCTTAAGTGCAATTTATGACTACCGTTCAGCTAACACAGTCAAGGAAAATATAAGCATATAGGTTGTTGCGGCGTGCAATCCGATCCAACCTTACATCTCATATTCCTTCCTTTTCCTCTTATTAACATAAACAACAGAATATAGATAAGAGTGTTGCGACGTGCAACCCGATCCCACCATATCACAATAATCATGATAACAGTTCATCCTTATTTCACCACAATCCACCCTTATTACACATGTTGCGGCGTGCAACCTGATCCCACCGTACATATCATTTCACCCTTATTCCTCCTTAATAAATCACCCTTATTCCATCTGTTGAGGCGCGCAACCCGATCCCACCATATCAGTATCAGTTATTCAGAAAGTACAGAAATTTCACAATTCAAATTACATAACCCTTCACGAGGCTTAACTTCAAACCAAAACAACTAGGAAGCTTATACACAATGAGACTTTGCACAAGTAATACTACTCAGCGATACCAACCCAGAATATATCATGAAAGTACCGATAACGAGCCTAAGCAAATGATAAGAGACAACAAAGCTATGAAATAACTAATAACTTCAACAAAGAGAAACAATATCTATCAGGTAGCGATTAAGCATGGAAATACAAGTAGAGCATGTAGCAGTTATGACAGAGAAAGAGACAATATGAGAAGAACGGGAAAGAAATAGGCAAAAACAGATAAATTGGCGGCGCATAGGTACTCGTCACCTCACCTATACGCCGCTCACATGGATTTCATATAGCAAATAAGTCAAGGATTCCTAATCCCTCGAGTCAAAGTTAGACACGACACTTACCTCGTTCCACTGGCCACTCAATACTCAAATACCGTTTTTCCTCTAGTATCCACCTCCAAACCACTCGTATCTAGACACAATTAACTCAATAACATCAATTATTGCTAAAGGAATCAACTATAATGCATAAATTTAGATTTCTCAAACTTTCTCCCAAAAAGTCAAAAACCGACCCCGGGCCCGCTTGGTCAAAACCCGAGGTTCGAACCAAAATCTATTTACCCATTCACACCCGAGCCCGGATATATAATTGATTTTAGAATCCGACCTGAATTTGAGATCTAAATCCCCAATTTCCCAAATCCCTAGTTTCTACCCAAAAACCCCCAATTCTACCATGAACACTCTAGATTTTAGGTTGAAATTTTATGAAATGCAATGGGCAATTGAAAGAAAGTGGTTTAGAATCACTTACCAACACTTTGGGGAAGAAATTAGTTTGGGAGAATCGCCTCTAGGCCGTCTAGCTTTATTTGAAAGAATGGCTTCAGCCCGTTTTGGGACTGTTTTAAGAACTGGGCGACAATGTTCATCGCGTTCGCGAGGACACTGTCGCGTTCGCGAAGAGCTGCACCTGCTAGGCTATGCGATCGAGAAACCCTCATCGCGTTCGCGAGGTATATGCCCCCCTAGCCTTCACGTTTGCAAGCTCGTGCTCGCGTTGGCGTAGAAGGAACGACCGACCCCACCCCCAGGTCCCAAATGCTTCGCGTTCGCGAAGGGTAAAGCCACCATCACTCCGCGTTCACGACCAAGCCTTAGCGACCAAGCCTTCGCATTTGCGAAGAGGAAAATCTCACCCTGACCAGCTTACCCTTTGCGTTCGCGAGAGTGCCTTCGGGAACGCGAAGAAGGACACACCAGAATAGCTGCTGCAGCAAAACTACCAGATTTTCTAAGTTCAAAACATCTCGTAGTCTATTCGAAAGTCACTCGAGCGCTCGGGGCTCCAAACCAAACATGCACACAAATCCTAAAATATCATACGAACTTGCTCGCGCGATCAAATCGCCAAAATAATACCTAGAACTACGAATTGAACACCAAATCAAATGAAATTTTCAAGAAAGCTTTAAAACTTCTCACTTCACAACCGGACGTCCGAATCACGTCAAACCAATTCCGTTTCTCACCAAATTTCACAGATAAGTTATAAATATTATAGTGGACCTGTATCGGGCTTCGAAATCAACATACGGACCAGGTATCAACAAGGCCAAACATCAATCAATTCAATTCTTAAAAACCATTAATTTTTAGACTTTAAATTTTCAATCAAAAATTCATATGTCGAGTTGGGGACCTCGGAATTTGATTCCGGGCATAAGCCCAGGTCCCATATTTCATTACAGGCCACCGGGATCGTCAAAACACGAGTCCGGATTTGTTTACTCAAAACATTGATCGAAGTCAACTAAAATTAACTTTTAAGGTAAAAGTTCTTATTTTCATCAACTTTCAACATAAAAGCTTTTTGAAAATACGCTCGAACTACGCACGCAAATCGAGAAGGTTAAAAATGAGATTTATAAAGCTTAAGAGCACAGAATCTAGTTCTAAAACATAAGATGACCTTTTGGGTCATCACATTCTCCACCTTTAAAATAACCGTTTGTCCTCGA